TCAAAATGTTTGGAGTTTTTTATTTATATAGCAAAAAAATAAAAATCCCAGTGGTGAATATATACCACCAAAATAAAGTTTTATCTGTCTCAAAAAATGCTAAAAGATTCATATGGGTACAGTGTTGCATGACTGCGCAATTGTCATTCAAAGTGTAATAGCACTGAAAGCTGAAAATTGGCCTGGACAGGAAAGGGGTGAAAGTGTCCGGACTTGAAGTGGTTAAACTAGTCTGAATTTGTCACTAACATTGTATTACAGGTACCTGCCCTATATCCAGATTTGTGGAAACTTTTACATTATTACCTTAAAGGAAAAGTTATATGACTGCCAAGAAATACAATACGCTGACACAGCTTTCCTCTTCAGCTTCCTATCTAAGCACCAAATTCAAGATCAGCAGTTCATAATCTGGCATTGATACATCCTATTTTAATACCTCTGCTTAATTTTACACTACATCATAGGAAGTCGTGTCTTCCAGGGGTTTTCATGCGTTACCCACTAAGGAAGGTCTGTGAAAAATATGGAAGAATTAGATTTGAAGATTAAACCTGTTAGACAGGACCTTGGGCTGTTCTTTGATCACAGTAAAACTCTTGGAAATCTAAGCCTCAGATGATGCTTTCTCTTCTCCTCTAAAACATGAAAATACAGTTTAACGACTTTATGAGAAGCATTTCTTTGAAATGTCACACAAAAGAAATAAAAACATTTCAGGGAAGGGAAATCTTAAAAGATTACAATGCCGGCTGTTCCGTTTGTGCAGATTCACACTTTAAAAAAGAAGCTAAATTACTATTAATAAATTGATGTCAAGTTCACCTGATTTTTTATATCAAAGCATTAAATAGAAAATATAATGGTTGTGGATTCAGATTATTTTTATGGTTTATTTTTGTTTTTTTTTAAGCTGATATGTTAGGGCTGAATCTTCACACAAATTTGTATGAATATTTACTTCAATTATTTAATTATGCTAAGATTAAATAAGCAAACAGTTGTTTGTTTTTGACATGATTGGCTACTTTAAGTCTCGGTTCACACTACTGCGCCCTGAAGGTTGCGTGACTTACAGTGCCACTTTGCCAGGTGACTTGAGTACTACTTTGATGTGACTTGATGCGACTTTGAAGCTTCTCTGAAGTGACTTTCAGGGAATGTCTGGGTAATCTTCCCATAATGTCAATCCAAATTACATCAATATAGATGAGGATCTGATTTGGAGGCGATTTCCATTAAAGTCTATGGGCACAAGTTGGATAGAAGTCGCCTTGAAGCAGTACAGGAACCTTTTCTAAAGTCGGAGTGACTTCAGTAGTGCTAATTAAGACAGCTCTCATTGACTAACATGGGATTTCACATGTCATGTGACTTGGGGTCTCACAAGTCGGATCCCAAGTCGCAGCAATGTAAACCAAGCCTAAAGGGGTATTAAACCAAAAACTAAAAATAATACATTTAATATATTGCCACTTATGCTCTCTCCTGGCTCTCTTCCTATCTATCACAGCCTCCTTCAGTGTTACCTATATGCTGCCACCTCCTCTTCATTCTCCCTCTCTGTTGGGGTCCCTCAAGGTTCTGTCCTCGGGCCCCTTCTCTTCTCCATCTACACCTCCTCCCTTGGCCAACTGATACACTCTCACGGGTTCAACTACCATCTCCATGCCGACAACACGCAAGGGATGGACGCTGCTCAGCCGACCCCAGGAGTCCAATGTTGAGGAAAGGCCTCAGCTGCCATTTTGGCCATGCCCTCTGATGTGTTTTGCCCCGTCCACAGGGGGAGCTTGGTCACAGAGGTCTATACATCAGTACATCATGTTACATCTGCAGAACAGCTTTTGCTGTTGAAAAACAACAGACTTACTGGCTGGATCTCCAGGTAAAATGCAGCCATCAGTTCTAAGAACTGGTAAGCTGCAACATAATAAACATTTGCTTTTGGGTTTAATGCAGCTGTAAAGTGAATATTCACACAATTTTTGCAGAAATATTCTCAAATTCTATAGTAAATCAGCTGCAAAATCTTTGTTTTAAAAATATTTAATACATAAAAGGATTCCCAGAGCAGTATAGGTAGCTAATGACAGTAGATGCTGCCCACTTTTCAGACTGAAATTTAAAGAGGAATTCCAAGTATGGATAATTCCTACATAGTTACATTGATCCAGATTGGACCACTGTAACTATGTACACTGCTAAAAAAAAAAGGAACACTTTGAAAACACCTCAAATCTCAATGTGGAAAAATCTCATGCTGGATCTCTATACTGATATGGACTGGGTAATGTGTTAGGAATATAAGGGTGCCCCATCGTTTGATAGAAATGAAAATGGTCAACCTACAGAGGACTGAATTCAAAGGCACCCCGAAAATCAATGATGCAGCAAGCTAGTCCATTATGCTGAAATTTCATGGCAGCAATTCAAAATGGTACTCAGTAGTTTGTATGGCCTCTGTGTGTTTTTTTTTATGCATGTCTGACAGCATTGGGGCATGATCTTAATGAGACGATGGATGGTGTCCTGGGGTATTTGCTCCCAGATCTGGACCAGGGCATCATTGAGCTCCTGGACAGTCTGAGGTGCAGCCTGGTGTTGTCGGATGGACCGAAACATGATATCCCAGAGGTGCTCTATTGGATTTAGGTCAGGCGAGCGTGGGGGCCATTCAATGGTATCAATTCCTTTATCTTCCAGGAACTGCCTGCATATTCTCACCACATGAGGCTGGGCATTGTTGTGCACCAGGAGGAACCCAGGACCCACTGCACCAGCGTAGGGTCTGACAATGAGTCCAAGGATTTCTTCCCGATACCTAATGGCAGTCAGGGTGCCATTGTCTAGCCTGTAGAGGTCTGTTCATCCCTCTATGGATATGCCTCCCCACACCATCACTGACCCACCACTAAAACGATCATGCTGAACGATGTTACATAACATTCTCCACGCTTCTCCAGACCCTTTCACGTCACATGTGCTCAGGGTAAACCTGCTCTCACCTGTGAAAAGCACAGGCTCCAGTGGCGGACCTGCCAATTCTGGTGTTCAAAGGCAAATGCCAATTGAGCTCTATGGTGCCAGGCAGTGAGCACAGGGCCCACTAGAGGACGTCGGGCCCTCAGGCCACCCCCATGAAGTCTGTTTCTGATTGTTTGGTCAGAGACATTCACACCAGTGGCCTGCTAGAGGTCATTTTGTAGGGCTCTGGCAGTGCTCATCCTGTTCTTCCTTGAACAAAGTAGCAAATACTATTTCTGCTGATGGGTTAAGGACCTTCTACGGCCCTTTCCAGCTCTCCTAGAGTAACTGCCTGTCTCCTGGAATCTCCTCCATGCTCTTGAGAGTGTGATGGGAGACACAGCAAACCTTCTGGCAATGGCACGTATTGATGTGCCATCCTGGAGGAGTTGGACTGCCTGTGCAACCTCTGTAGGGTCCAGGTATCGACTTATGCTAACAGTAGTGACACTGACCCTAGCCAAATGCAAAACTAGTGAAAAACAGTCAGAAAAAGATGAGTAGGAAAAAAAAATGACAGTGGCCTCCACCTGTAAAACCATTCCTGTTTTGGGGGTCATCGCAGTGTTGTCCATATAGCGCACCTGTTGATAATTTTATTAACACCAAAGCAGCTGAAACTGTTTAACAACCCCCTCTGCTACTTAACTGACCATATGACCTAATGCTATACTCTGATTAAATAGTGTTCCTTTAATTATTTTGAGCAGTGTTTATACCTGTTCAATGCCCCTAGAACAGTGGTGTCCAAACTGTGGTCCAAGGGCCGAATGTGGCCCTTTGCTAGCCTTTATCTGGCCCTTGGGGCACTATTCCTGTGACATCAACAGTGGGGCATAATTCCTGCCCTGACACCAACGATGGGTATTGTTCTCCACACTAATACTAATGATGGAGCACTACTCCTCCTGTTTCTGATCACCAACCCCTAGGCCATGTTTATGTTCACTAATGCTGGGCCCAGGACATTTTCTACCCCCACTGGCCACAATCTGGCCCCCCAGAAGTCTGAAGGACAGTAAATTGGCCCTTTGTTTGAAAAGTTTGGAGACCCCTGCCCTAGAAGCTGGAAATGACTGAAGTGGACACCCCTATCAGTGCACACAATTAATTTTGTTGGTAATGTGGTGATCTTTTGCACACCTGTTTGTAATAAAGGAGATATATTCCCAAGCACGCCCACTGTACACTGCTGGATGTGTCGCACACACAGAAAGCCTCATTTTGCTAAGCTACTACTTGCTTTAACAATTGTTATTTTCAGCTTTCAGTAGCCCTCATAATTGAAAATAGTAAATGTTGTTGCAATTAGCAATAGTCATAGCCGAGAGAATTGAACTTAAAGTTGAGTTTCACTCACGCTGTCAAAAATAAAAGTCAGCAGCAACAAAAACTGTAGCTGCTGACTTTTAAAAAAACACCCACTCACCTGTCCCTCGGTCCCGCGGTGTGTCCCCCGCAGCCCATTTCACTGGCCAACCTGTATTCCAGGAGGCCGGCATCTTCAGTGTGGGCACCCGCTGTGATAGCTTGCAGCTTCACAGCCAGGTACCCACTGTGCATGCGCATTCACTTCATGAATGGTCCTGTAGTCTTCTGGGACCTGTCACTTGTCCCAAAAGACTACAGGGAGGGGGACACCTTCCAATTCTGATCGCCTAGGTGATCGGACCGGAAGTGGGAGCGGGTACCTGTCAAATTCGGGTACCCGCCCCCGCCCCCCAAAGGTGCCAATCCTTAATGGAGCAGTCCTTAAAGCGGAACTTCTCCTTATGGGTGGAGCTCCACTTTAAAGTGTTAATAAACCCAGGACCCTGCATTCACTATATCTGGTCTCCCCGGACCCTGCATTCACTATATCTGGTCTCCCCGGACCCGGCATTCACTATATCTGGTCTCCCCGGACCCGGCATTCACTATATCTGGTCTCCCCGGACCCTGCATTCACTATATCTGGTCTCCCCGGACCCGGCATTCACTATATCTGGTCTCCCACAGTACACAGAACATGGAAATGCAATTATTTCAGTAAATATAAACTGCTAAACGCCTGTTCTCATTAGTAGTATATAGAAGTCTTGTGACTGCTATCAGTGTCCAGCTGAGCACTGGTTAAAGCTTGTAGGAGGAGTTTTCTCTAGGAGGATATAGAACCTGACCTCTGTCTGGACAATGTTGATTGGCACTGTGCTGATCACATGCACTCTCCCAAGAAAAAAAAACTTCTCTAGCAATACACACCAAATTGAGCATGTGCAGAGTTGTCTCCACACGATATGTCTTATCAGGAGACACTGGAAGAAGGGGAGGATCACAGAAGTCAGGATCAAACAGCCTTTTTACACAATGTAGAGGATTAACCCCTTAGGTTTCACAGTGAGTAGAACAAGCATGCTTTACTGCATATACAGACTGATTTTACTGTTGTGGGTTTAGTAACACTTTTAAGGGGAAAAAAGGGGGAAAAAGTAGCAAGTAAAATATTTTCTTTTCTGTTCACAGGGCCATATTTAGTAGAGGTTACAGCACATCATTTCTGCTTGCTGATTGGTTGCTGGAGATTACTGCACATCATTAACGCTCACTGATGGGTTGCTAGAGGTTACTGCACATCCTTACCAATCGCTGATTGGTTGCTAGAGGTTACTGCACATCATTACCGCTTATTGATTGGTTGCTAGAGGTTACCGTACATCATTACTGCTGATTGGTTTTTTACAGGTTACTGCAAATCCTGTCTGATGTGGGGATGCAGTAAAAAATGTCAGAGGGAAGAGGATAGAAGGTCAGCAAAGCAGTGTATAGGGGTCAGCAGTTTGTAGGGCAGTGTACAGAGGTCAGCAGGGTGGAGGACAGGGATCAGTCAGTAGTAAGTGAGACAGAAGTCAGAGATTAGTAGTAAGTGGTGCAGCCTAACAATGGGAGAGGCTTAAAGGGGGATGATTGAACAGAATCTGTGTCTAGTCATTGTATACTCTGCACACATATACTACAGTCCTTGTACCCACAATATACTCCTACTTAATATGTTACAAGTGACAGTCAGGAATATTTACTGTACAGAGTGCAGGGGTCAGCAGTGTACAAAGCACAAAATGCACAGTCATCTACTTCTCTTTAAAGGGTCAGCACTTGCAGACATATACATTTGCCCTCTTTAACCACTTCCGGACCATCTGCCTGCAATTCATTGTGGACAGGCGGCCCATACAGGCACAGCGACGTACTGGTATGTCATTGCCTGTTTCCAGGTTTAGTGCATGCATGCGGTTGTACACAGCAGTGCTTGGCAGTTTGTCAGCAGGCCCTGGCCAATGATTCATGGCCAGGACTTGCTGATGGGCTGTGTCCAATCACAGACATTTAGAATACATTTTGGCCTAAATTCATGTAGAAATTAGTTCTTTTTGTATATATATATGTTTAGATATATTTTATGGCAGAAAGTAAAAAATATTGTTTTTTTTTTTTTTTCAAAATATTTGGTCTTTTTTTGTTTACATAATAAAAACCCAGTGGTGATCACATACCACCAAGGTCTATTTGTGTGAAAAAAAAAGATAAAAATGTCATCCGGGTACAGTATTGTTTAACTGAGCAATCGCCAGTTAAAGAAGTGCAGTGCTGAATAGCAAAAAAATGGCCTGGTCATGAAGAGGGTGAAACTTTGTTCACATGGGCAGTGACAGTAGTAAGAAGCCAAAAAATAACCAGCACCAGAGGTGGCAGAACTTCAGCTGACTCCAGCAGGCAGCAGCGTGGGCTCAAGGGACAGCTGCTTTGGGCCCCACAGCAATGACTGGGCCCAGGGCAGTTGGCCTTTTGCCCTGCATTAAAGACAGCCCTGAAGATACAATCAGATTTTGGACATCCCCTGCAACAAAAAATTCCATTTGTCCAGATAAGCCAAAAAGAAAATCATGTCTTAAAGGGATGTAGACCTTGCAACTTTCCTCATTAGGACCCTGCAGGCGCAGCAACTGATTGATAATTATAAAATTACTTCCATTCACATTCACTTTACACATGGACACAGACAAACAGATATTTCTTCTGAATACCAAAAGGTAGGAATCTGCAACAGTCTGTTAAAGTCTTTGCAATGTACATAGATCACCCAGGGGAATGTTTAATTCTCAGCAAAAGTGGAGTTACTCTTCAAAAGAGTAACTTCACCCTACCTAACTAAATGTTTATTTCTAATTTCTAGTTACTGTTTTATTATGTAGATTACAAAATACATACGTACTAGTCCATGAAGTCCAGCATTGTCCTTCCTCCACCTCAAAGTTCTTCTTTGAAGCTTTGCTTCCGTGCTGCCATCTTGAAATAATATCATGCACACATGCAGATACGCCATCTGTTTTCTGCCAGGTGCCAGGTGTTTTCTGCCAGGTCTGAAGATACACTATATTGCCAAAAGTATTGGGCCGCCTGCCTTTACATGCAAATTAACTTTAATGGCATCCCAGTCTTAGTCCATAGGGTTCAATATTGAGTTGGCCCCGCCCTTTGCAGCTATAACAGCTTCAACTCTCTGGGAAGGCTGACCACAAGGTTTAGGAGTGTGTCTATGGGAATGTTTGACCATTCTTCCAGAAGTGCATTTGTGAGGTCAGGCACTTATGTCGGACGAAAGGCCTGGCTCTCAATCTCCACTCTAATTCACCCAAAGGTGATCTACCAGGTTAAGGTCAGGACTCTGTGCAGGTCAGTCATGTTTCTCCACCCCAAACTCACTCATCCATGTCTTTATGGACCTTGCTTTGTGCACTGGTGCGCAGCCATGTTGGAACAGGAATAGGCCATCTCCAAACTGTTCCCACAAAGTTGGGAGCATGAAATGTCCAAATGTCTTCGTATGCTGACACCTTAAGAGTTCCCTTCACTGGAACTAAGGTGCCAAGCCCAACCCCTGAAAAAAGAACCCCACACCATAATCCCCCCTCCACCAAACTTTGCACTTGGCACAAAGCAGTCAGGCAAGCACTGTTCTCCTGGTAACCGCCAAACCCAGACATGTCCATCTGATTGCCAAACAGAAGCGTGAGTCATCATTACAGAGAACACGTCCCCACTGCTCTAGAGTCCAATGGCGGCATGTTTTACACCACTGCACAAAATACACCACTGCACAAAAGAGTCATGTCCAATTTCTGAGTTGTGTGGTCCAGTTCAGGTGCGGATTACAGGCTCCTTGACTTCTATGGAAACCGCTTCTGAACCGCTCATGTCATACATTGTGAACATGATTTTAGGTTGGTTTTCTCTCCTGATCCTGATGTAAACCTGAGCTGAACCACTGAACAACTACTTTGTCAATTACCTGTGAAAATGTAGCTTCAACTCGCACCATACCTGCATAGAAACCAATCAGCTTCCATGTTTAATTGCCAAAGCTTTACTGAACAAGCTGAAGTTAGAAGCTGATTGGCTACAATGCACAACTACACCAGATTTCGCACTCTCCAGTTTTAGTAAATCAGCCCCAGTGTAATGTAGGGTCAATAATAAAAAGAAAAAAAAAACACTATGTGAGATCTTCAAGCAAAATAGTGAAAAATCACACAATTAAAAGTCCATCCCTAATAAGTGCCCTGTGTAGACAGTATTCACGTGTGCCAGCCTCTATGCTTTACCACTACAAATCCAAGCCTTTTACCAGAAGCCCAAGACATTCAAATAATGAGGTCATAAGCACATATGAATCATCTTGTCAATCCAGCTAATGAACTACCACACTGTAATCAAGAATGACCTCTTCAAGAGTGTCACATATCAGCCATAAATAGGAAGAGGACTGAGCACATAGCGTAACCCAATAAAAAATTGAATTCAATAATAAAATAGCTAATGGATACTCGCAAAGGAAGAAATGGTAACAGCAAGTAAAAGAGAGCGCCACTCATTGGCAGACATGATGATGTCAGTGTGCTAGTCTACTTCCGACGCGTTTTGTCACAAGGGGGGCGTTGTCAGGGGTTGATTCACTAGTTTAGATTTTGTCTAGTATTTTTCACTGAAATATTTTTGAGTATTTATTGTATATCAGCACACAGGTGATACCTAGAGTAGAGTTTTTCATTTGAATATAAAGTTGGTCATGTATAAAGTACTTAGTGCTAAGAGGAAAATATTTTATGGACATTCATAGCAATAAGCTCATATTTTATCTTTCTATAGCAGCATTCCAAATTAGGGTTCTGTGGAAGCCTAGGGTTCCTCCTGACGTTGCTAGGGGTTCCTTCAGCAATGAGCAATGGTTAAAAAAGAATTACAGGTATGGATATTTTATACATAGTTATATTGGTTTAGCTCGGGCCAATGTAACTACAGTCATGGCCGAAAATTGTTGGACCCTTGATATTTTTCCTGAAAATCAAGTATTTCACACAAAAAAGGTATTGCATTAACACATGTTTTGCTATACACATGTTTTATTCCCTTTGTATGTATTGGAACAAATATAAAACAGAGGCAGAAAAGCAAATATGACATAATGTCACACAAAACCCCAAAAATGGGCTGGACAAAAGTATTGGCACCCTTAACTTAATATTTGGTTGCACACCCTTTGGAAAACATAACTGAAATCAGTCGCTTCCTATAACCATCAATAAGCTTCTGACACCTCTCACCCGGAATTTTGGACCACTCTTCCTTTGCAAACAGCTCCAGGTCTCTCTTATTGGAAGGACACCTTTTCCCCAACAGCAATTTTAAGATCTCTCCACAGGTGTTCAATGGGATTTAGATCTGGGCTCATTGCTGGCCACTTCAGAACTCTCCAGCGCTTCTTTGCCATCCATTTCTGAGTGCTTTTGACGTATGTTTGGGGTCATTGTCCTGCTGGAAGACCCAGGATCTTGGACGCAAACCCAGCTTTCTGACACTGGGCCCTACAGTGCGACCCAAAATCCTTTGGTAATCCTCAGATTTCATGATGCCTTGCACACAGTCAAGGCACCCAGTGCCAGAGGCAGCAAAAACAACCCCAAAACATCATTGAACCTCCACCATATTTTACCGTAGGTACTGTGTTTTGTTCTTTGTAGGCCTCATTCCGTTTTCGGTAAACAGTAGAATGATGTGCTTTACCGAAAAGCTCTATCTTGGTCTCATCTGTCCACAAGACGTTTTCCCAGAAGGCTTTTGGCTTACTCAAGTACATTTTGGCAAACTGTAGTCTTGCTTTTTTATGTCTCTGTGTCAGCAGTGGGGTCCTCCTGGGTCTCCTGCCATAGCGTTTCATTTCATTTAAATGTCGACGGATAGTTCGCGCTGACACTGATGCTCCCTGAGCCTGCAGGACAGCTTGAATGTCTTTGGAACATGTTTGGGGCTGCTTATCCACCATCCGGACTATTCTGCGTTGCAATCTTTCATCAATTTTCCTCATCCGTCCACGACCAGGGAGATTAGCTACAGTGCCATGG